GTTCAGTTCTAGTTCAGTTCTAGTTCAGTTTCTAGTTCAGTTTCTAGTTCAGTTCTAGTTCAGTCTAGTTCAGTTCTAGTTCAGTTCTAGTTCAGTTCTAGTTCAGTTCTATTTCAGTTCTAGTTCAGTTCTAGTTCAGTTCTAGTTCAGTTCTAGTTCAGTTCTAGTTCAGTTCTAGTTCAGTTCTAGTTCAGTTCTAGTTCAGTTAGTTCAGTTCTCGTTCAGTTCTAGGTCAGTTCTAGTTCAGTTCTAGTTCAGTTCTAGTTCATTCTGTTCTAGTTCAGTTCTAGTTCAGTTCTAGTTCAGTTCTAGTTCAGTTCTAGTTCAGTTCTAGTTCAGTTCTAGTTCAGTTCTAGTTCAGTTCTAGTTCAGTTCTAGTTCAGTTCTAGTTCAGTTCTAGTTCAGTTCTAGTTCAGTTCTAGTTCAGTTCTAGTTCAGTTCTAGTTCAGTTTTAGTTCAGTTCTAGTTCTGTTCTAGTTCTGTTCTAGTTCAGTTCTAGTTCAGCTCTAGTTCAGTTCTAGTTCAGTTCTAGTTCAGTTATAATTCAGTTTTAGTTCAATTCTAGTTCAGTTTAAGCTCGGCTCTAGTTTATTTCAGATTTTGTCTATTATTTCTCTTTATTTAAAAAATGTTCTTATATTGTTAATATGTTTGAGAAATTATAGTTTATTTTAAATTGAAATATTTCAAATACTTATAATAACCTTCAAACTAACTTCAAGATCTTCATTAAGTTATATCTCTTATAAACGAAAGAATTTTTTTATAATTAGAACATGAACAAGAAACAAATCTAAAGAAAGTAGAAACTTGGAAAAAAAAAACTCCACATATAAATTAAAAGAAACTCTAACTAACTTTAATTACGACAAGCAATTGCCACAGCAGAATAAAACTGAAAATAAAACCAGTAGTACTACAATACTAACAACCAAATACATTTCATACATAAATCTCTTTTATTTTCAAAAAATATCTATCTGTTCCTTCTAACAAAAAAAAAAAAAAAAAAAAAAGAAAGAAAAAGAATAGAATAGTAAAACAATCTTTTTTACAAATGATTACACAGATTGTTTGCAATTCTTGTAGTATAGTTTTTTAGTGGGGTATCAAATCAACATCATCATCATACTTCATTCATTCACAAACCAACAATATCTAATACCAGAGGAGTCTTATTTGCCACTGGTTATGTTATAATAACTCTACTCAACTTGGTCTTACTTTTTAACTTCTTATACTAACTCTTACAACTTCTATAATATTCCTTCTACAAATCATTCATAAAAAACTCACATACAAATATCTAGAGAAAAAAACTTAAGAAAAAAAAAAGATCTTAGATGAAAAATACTTTTAAGAAATGTAGACAGAGAAGTGTTGTAAAACATGACGATGAAAATATGCAGACATTCGTCTAATAAAAATCAGACACAAAACAACACAAACAACATGAATAAAAAGTAAAAAAATAATACTAGAAAAATAGTTGGGAAAAAAATAAGGCTTTAAGATATCAAATGTTTTGTAAAGCAGAAAACTAAATTGATATGAAAATAAATTTCTTTTTTTTTCAAAATTTTCTATGGTTACAACTAGATTTTATATTAAGAAATTGTTGTAGAAAAGAAATGACTTAAATTAAGTTTAAGATTACTTAATTAGGGAAATCAAAATGTTTTTAAAAAGATTTTTCTTTTAATTTAAATTGTGCTAATTAAACAGTTTAAAAACTTAAATTTCTTTTATCATTTTGTATGATTTAATAAATTTATTTGCAAAATATTTATGACAAAATGTCATTAACAAGTTCGTTTAAATCTTTAAGAGTCAAACATCAATTCTCACTTGATAATTTAAACTAAAAAGCCGGCTTTTGATTTTTTTAAATACATAAGATAAATAACAACTAAAATAATTTTCTTGCTCTTACTTTAACATTTTAGCTGATTAGCAATCTATTAACTTTAATTAACACCTCACATATTTTTAAAGTTTTTCACGTTTATTTTTTAACCTTTTTTCTGGTTTTCAAACGAAAACAGAAAATAAAATAAATTTATTAAAACTACTTTTAAAAACCCTTCCCACGTTTTTGTGACACTTTTTTTCATAAAAAAATGTGGCTGTGAACTACCGAGTTGTTTTTTTTTTAGTTTTTAAAATAAAAATTCCTATAGCTTTTAAAATAAAGCATGAGCTAAACACATTTATAAATATGTATTTAAAATGTTTTATAAATGCTCACATAGTTTTAACACTCACAGATACTTTTGGTATGTATAGGTTAACCACCATTCATTTTTTCATACCGATATATTATATACATGTTTATCATTTATATATTTATGTATGTTTATACATACATAAAAAGTAAATAAAGGTTCTAAGCTTCATTGATTATCTGGTTAACGAAAATATTGTCTAAAATTCATGTATCTGAAAAAAAAACAACAAAATTGTTTAGAAATAAACCAACACACTCACTAATACAAAAAAAAATGTTGTTGCCCCTGGGCTGACATTAAAGATAAATTTCATTAAAAATGCAAATTATATTTAATAAAAATAAAATACTAGAAAAACAAAACAAACCAACCGACTCATTTCAAATAAAATTTTTGAAAAAAAAAACATGGCACGGAAGTACAGATGTTAAGGTGTTTTAACAAAATACTAGAAACGTTTTGATATTTAATTGAAAGCTTTAAAGATTTTTGTTATAGTAAAAATGACGGAAAAGCTAATAATTTGAAAATATTACAAATTTTCTTTAATAAATTAAAAAATACTAGTTCAGTTCTGGTTCAGTTCTAGTTCAGTTCCAGTTCAGTTCTAGTTCAGTTCTAGTTCAGTTCTAGTTCAGTTCTAGTTCAGTTCTAGTTCAGTTCTAGTTCAGTTCTAGTTCAGTTCTAGTTCAGTTCTAGTTCAGTTCTAGTTCAGTTCTAGTTCAGTTCTAGTTCAGTTCTAGTTCAGTTCTAGTTCAGTTCTAGTTCAGTTCTAGTTCAGTTCTAGTTCAGTTCTAGTTCAGTTCTAGTTCAGTTCTAGTTCAGTTCTAGTTAAGTTCTAGTTCAGTTCTAGTTCAGTTCTAGTTCAGTTCTAGTTCAGTTCTAGTTCAGTTCTAGTTCAGTTCTAGTTCAGTTCTAGTTCAGTTCTAGTTCAGTTCTAGTTCAGTTCTAGTTCAGTTCTAGTTCAGTTCTAGTTCAGTTCTAGTTCAGTTCTAGTTCAGTTCTAGTTCAGTTCTAGTTCAGTTCTAGTTCAGTTCTAGTTCAGTTCTAGTTCAGTTCCAATTCAGTTCTAGTTCAGTTCTAGTTCAGTTCTAGTTCAGTTCTAGTTCAGTTCTAGTTCAGTTCTAGTTCAGTTCTAGTTCAGTTCTAGTTCAGTTCTAGTTCAGTTCTAGTTCAGTTCTAGTTCAGTTCTAGTTCAGTTCTAGTTCAGTTCTAGTTCAGTTCTAGTTCAGTTCTAGTTCAGTTCTAGTTCAGTTCTAGTTCAGTTCTAGTTCAGTTCTAGTTCAGTTCTAGTTCAGTTCTAGTTCAGTTCCAGTTCAGTTCTAGTTCAGTTTTAGTTCAGTTCTAGTTCAGTTCTAGTTCAGTTCTAGTTCAGTTCTAGCTCAGTTCTAGTTCAGTTCTAGTTCAGTTCTAGTTCAGTTCTAGTTCAGTTCTAGTTCAGTTCTAGTTCAGTTCTAGTTCAGTTCTAGTTCAGTTCTAGTTTAGTTCTAGTTTAGTTCTAGTTCATTTCTAGTTCAGTTCTAGTTCAGTTCTAGTTCAGTTCTAATTCAGTTCTAGTTCACTTCTAGTTCAGTGCTAGTTCAGTTCTAGTTCAGTTCTAGTTCAGTTCTAGTTCAGTTCTAGTTCAGTTCTAGTTCAGTTCTAGTTCAGTTCTAGTTCAGTTCTAGTTCAGTTCTAGTTCAGTTCTAGTTCAGTGCTAGTTCAGTTCAGTTCTAGTTCAGTTCTAGTTCAGTTCTAGTTCAGTTCTAGTTCAGTTCTAGTTCAGTTCTAGTTCAGTTCTAGTTAAGTTCTAGTTCAGTTCTAGTTCAGTTCTAGTTCAGTTCTAGTTCAGTTCTAGTTCAGTTCTAGTTCAGTTCTAGTTCAGTTCTAGTTCAGTTCTAGTTCAGTTCTAGTTCAGTTCTAGTTCAGTTCTAGTTCAGTTCTAGTTCTAGTTCAGTTCTAGTTCAGTTCTAGTTCAGTTCTAGTTCAGTTCTAGTTCAGTTCTAGTTCAGTTCTAGTTCAGTTCTAGTTCAGTTCTAGTTCAGTTCTAGTTCAGTTCTAGTTCAGTTCTAGTTCAGTTCTAGTTCTAGTTCAGTTCTAGTTCAGTTCTAGTTCAGTTCTAGTTCAGTTTCTAGTTCAGTTCTAGTTCAGTTCTAGTTCAGTTCTAGTTCAGTTCTAGTTCAGTTCTAGTTCTAGTTCAGTTCTAGTTCAGTTCTAGTTCAGTTCTAGTTCAGTTCTAGTTCAGTTCTAGTTCAGTTCTAGTTCAGTTCTAGTTCAGTTCTAGTTCTAGTTTCTAGTTCAGTTCTAGTTCAGTTCTAGTTCTAGTCAGTTCTAGTTCAGTTCTAGTTCAGTTCTAGTTCAGTTCTAGTTCAGTTCTAGTTCAGTTCTAGTTCTAGTTCAGTTCTAGTTTAGTTCTGGTTCAGTTCTAGTTCAGAAAAATACTTTTCTTAAATACCTTAGAAATTAGTTCAGCGATTATAGCAAACAATAATATGTAATAGATAAAACTTTAATAATTTTCATTAATAAAACCAAAAATCAAAAGCCTGTTAGCGCCTTTGAGTTACAAACGTTTTACAAATTCTTAATATACCGCCTCATTTTATCCAAGTTGAGCATATATTTTTATAAAACACATGTCGATTTTTTTTTTTTTTCATTGTATTTTTAATTTATATTTATTTTTTATTATAATTTTTTTCATCTTATTTATTTTAACTTTTTGATGTTTTTTTAATTAAATTTTTTACGTCAATTTTCATGTTTCTTTTTCTCCTCCTCTTTTCTTTACAGATTTTTTGTTGTGCCTTAATTTGAATAATATTTGTTGAAATAAAAAAAAACCTGTTAAAAGTTTTAAATTCTTTTAAGAAAAGAAGTCAATTTGGTGGTAAATAAGTTGTAATAAAACGAAGTGTGGTGTTCTTCTCAACATTCCAGCTTTTTCGATCTATTGGATTACTTTAAATAGTTGTTTGGAAACTTTTACAAGTTTTGGTGTTACTACTGTTCTATAAAATTAAGGTAAGTTAATTAATAATGTTTTATTTGTAAATAAATAATTTGTTGGGGCAGAATTTATAAGTTGTTTTGAGGTGAAGGTGTAAAAAATAGAAAAAAAAAAAATAAAGTTTTAAAAATATTTTTCTTTAGACCTTTAAGTTTAGCTGGCATTATTTGCAAAGTTTTTTGTAATTAGTTTGTTTTTGTTGAAAATATTCACTTTCTTTAAAGATAAGATAAAAACAAATTCTCAAAATTCCTATGGAAACCCCTCCCTATTCCACTTTATAAAAAGCCAATTATAACGTCATTTGTTTAATAAACTTTTTTCCCCAAAAAAAATTCTTTTGGCAAAAATCAACAAAAAAAAGAAACGTTTCTAATCTAATCTTACAAGGTCAATAAAAACCAATTTCAGACATTTTATCAATAGAAAAGCAGAAAAAGCAAATAACAAACAAACAAATGGCTGCTATTTAATCATATTTATGACAAAATACAAAAATTTCTAAAAATTTAAAATACTTTCCAAAATTTCTTTATAATTTTTGCTAACGGATCGTTCATAACAAAAGGTCAGACCTTTCAAATATTTAAATACTTTAAATAAATCATCACCGAGGCTCATTCAAAATGTTATTGACAAAAGCATAAATTATTAATGAAAATTGTTTTTTTTTTTTTTCTAATTTATAAATAATTAGTCAATATGTAATTTACATAACTTTACACTCACAAAAATCTATTTCAAACAAATTTAAATAAAAGCAGAAATTTTGAATAAACTCAAATATAATGGAACCTTTTGTATACAGACATACATATGTACATTCATTTTTGAATAGTTTAAAGTGTGTAAAAGTAAAAGAAAAGACTTTGTCTGCTATTGATTAAATGATGTTTACAATATTTTAACACATTTCTAAATAAATATTGAATTAAACAAATAAACAAATGAAGAGAAAGAAAACAAGTAAGAGTGTTATATTCGGCCATGCCGAATCTTATATACCCACCATCAAATCATCCTTATAAATAAACTTTGATATTATCGATCTATGTTGAATCATATGTCGATATTATTATGAACATCAGGGAAATATTTGGAAGAGGGAAATTAATAAAGGCTTAAGCATGGACCGTGCTCTTCCGAATTAAAAATATTAATTTTGTTTGATCCAATATTTATAACCATAACCTCATACAAAACTTGTTAATGTGAAATTTCATCTCTGTAGTCGCATTTGAGCGTTACAGCCAGTAACGAGCGTTACAGTCACTATCTGAGGGGGACCGTATATGGAGGGTGGGGTCAGTTATAGACCGATCCCCATAAAATGTGATAAATAGTTTTTGGCTAGTACAAAACTTGTTTACGTAGAATTTCACTGCTGTAATAGCATTTTTGAGTCAGTAATGAGCGTTAAAGTAATTTTCCGAAGGGGACCTTATAGGGTAGTCATTTTCTAAAGGGGACTTTATATGGGGGGTAGGGTCAATTATGGACCGATCCTTATAAAATTATATGAAGAGATTTATGTTCCCATAGAACATGTTTGTGCCGAATTTCACCGCTATTGATGCTTATCTTAGCCAGTTATGGGCGATAAAGTCATTTCTGAAGGGGACTTTATATGGGGGGTAGGGTCAATTATGGGCCTATCCTTATAAAATTCCACGGAAAGATTTATGTTCCTATAGAACATGTTTGTGCCGAATTTCACCGCTATTGATGCTTCTCTTAGCCAGTTATGGGCGATAAAGTCATTTTCTGAAGGGGACTTTATATGGGGGGTAGGGTCAATTATGAGCCTATCCTTATAAAATTTTAAAAAGAGATTTAGGTTCCCATAAAACATGTTTGTGCCGAATTTCACCGCTATTGGTTCTTCCCTTAGCAAGTTATGAGCGATAAAGTCATTTTCTGAAGGGGACTTTATATGGGGGTAGGGTCAATTATAGACCGATCCTTATAAAATTTTACAGAGAGATTTAGGTTCCCACAAAACATGTTTGTGCCGAATTTCACCGCTATTGGTTCTTCCCTTAGCAAGTTATGAGCGATAAAGTCATTTTCTGAAGGGGACTTTATATGGGGGGTAGGGTCAATTATAGACCGATCCTTATAAAATTTTACAGAGAGATTTAGGTTCCCATAAAACATGTTTGTGCCGAATTTCACTGCTATTGGTTCTTCCCTTAGCAAGTTATGAGCGATAAAGTCATTTTCTGAAGGGGACTTTATATGGGGGGTAGGGTCAATTATAGACCGATCCTTATAAAATTTTATAGAGAGATTTAGATTCCCATAAAACATGTTTGTGCCGAATTTCACCGCTATTGATGCTTTTCTTAGGCAGTTATGGGCGATAAAGTCATTTTCTGAAGGGGACTTTATATGGGGGGTAGGGTCAATTATAGACCGATCCTTATAAAATTTTACAGAGAGATTTAGGTTCCCATAAAACATGTTTGTGCCGAATTTCACCGCTATTGGTTCTTCCCTTAGCAAGTTATGAGCGATAAAGTCATTTTCTGAAGGGGACTTTATATGGGGGGTAGGGTCAATTATAGATCGATCCTTATAAAATTTTATAGAGAGATTTAGATTCCCATAAAACATGTTTGTGCCGAATTTCACCGCTATTGATGCTTTTCTTAGGCAGTTATGGGCGATAAAGTCATTTTCTGAAGGGGACTTTATATGGGGGGTAGGGTCAATTATGGACCGATCCTTTTAAAATTCTACGAAGAGATTTAGGTTCCCATAAGACATATTTGTGCCAAATTTCACAGCTATTGGTTCTTCCCTTAGCAAGTTATGAGCGATAAAGTCATTTTCTGAAGGGGGCCTTATATGGGGGCTAGGCGAAATTGTGGACCGATATTGCCCATTTTCAATACCAAACAAACTGCAGCAACTGGAAGTATCTGTGCAAAATTTCAGCTCGCTAGCTGCTTCCATTTGGACTCTATCGTGTTTTCAACAGACAGACAGACAGACAGACAGACGGACAGACGGACAGACGGACAGACGGACAGACGGACAGACGGACAGACGGACAGACGGACAGACGGACGGACATGGCTAGATCGTCTTAGAATCTTATAAGGACCCAGAATATATATACTTTTATGGGTCTTAGACGAATATTTCAATGTGTTACAAACGGAATGACAAAAACAATATACCCCCCATCTTTTTTGATGGTGGGTATAAAAAAAACCAACAGAAATTTCTTAAGACAAAGAAGAAAAGAATGAAAGAATGAAAACCTCGAGAAATGTACGGTTAAATAGACCTTTAGAAACAAAATGAGAATAAAATTTATACTATAATTAGAGTTAAAATATTGAAAGAAAAACAGACAGAATTGGAAGAAAAGACTACATACCATGTTTGAATGCATTTTACTTACAAGTGCTAGAATTTTTAAAAAGCAAATGGAAAAACACGAAATTTATATGCGCTATAATAATTAGAAATTGAAATATGAAGATATTTTGAATAGGCGGTAGGTCCATGTGCCCATGTACAGGGGCTCTTTGGCAATGTTACTATGTCATTAAGAAAGGAAAACAAGTGTCGCAAGTGATTTTAGGAATTATTTCGAAATTAGTTATATATTAACGTTCATATCTTAAGATGGACCCAGAGACTTTTATGATCTTTGAGGATACTACTCTGACATAGAGAATTTAGATAATTTAGTTAGTTAGTCTGTCAGTTAGTCGTTAGTAGTTAGTTAGTTAGTTAGTTAGTTAGTAGTTAGTGTAGTTAGTTAGTTAGTTAGTAGTTAGTTAGTTAGTTAGTTAGTTAGTAGTTAGTTAGTAGTTAGTTAGTTAGTTAGTTAGTTAGTTAGTTAGTTTAGTTAGTTAGTTAGTTAGTAGTTTAGTTAGTAGTTAGTTAGTTAGTTAGTTAGTTAGTTAGTTAGTTAGTTAGTTAGTTAGTTAGTTAGTTAGTTAGTAGTAGTAGTTAGTTAGTAGTTAGTTAGTTAGTTAAGTTAGTTAGTTAGTTAGTTAGTTAGTTAGTTAGTTAGTTAGTTAGTTAGTAGTTAGTTAGTTAGTTAGTTAGTTAGGTTAGTTAGTTAGAGTTAGTTAGTTAGTTAGTTAGTTAGTTAGTTAGTTAGTTAGTTAGTTAGTTAGTTAGTTAGTTAGTTAGTTAGTTAGTTAGTTAGTTAGTTAGTAGTTAGTTAGTTAGTTAGTTAGTTAGTTAGTTAGTTAGTTAGTTAGTTAGTTAGTTAGTTAGTTAGTTAGTTAGTTAGTTAGTTAGTTAGTTAGTTAGTTAGTTAGTTAGTTAGTTAGTTAGTTAGTTAGTTAGTTAGTTAGTTAGTTAGTTAGTTAGTTAGTTAGTTAGTTAGTTAGTTAGTTAGTTAGTTAGTTAGTTAGTTAGTTAGTTAGTTAGTTAGTTAGTTAGTTAGTTAGTTAGTTAGTTAGTTAGTTAGTAGTTAGTTAGTTAGTTAGTTAGTTAGTTAGTTAGTTAGTTAGTTAGTTAGTTAGTTAGTTAGTTAGTTAGTTAGTTAGTAGTTAGTTAGTTAGTTAGTTAGTTAGTATAGTTAGTTAGTAGTTAGTTAGTTAGTTAGTTAGTTAGTTAGTTAGTTAGTTAGTTAGTTAGTTAGTTAGTTAGTAGTTAGTAGTTAGTTAGTTAGTTAGTTAGTTAGTTAGTAGTTAGTAGTTAGTTAGTTAGTTAGTTAGTTAGTTAGTTAGTTAGTTAGTTAGTTAGTTAGTTAGTAGTTAGTTAGTTAGTTAGTAGTTAGTAGTTAGTTAGTTAGTTATGTTAGTTAGTTAGTTAGTTAGTTAGTAGTTAGTTAGTTAGTTAGTTAGTAGTTAGTTAGTTAGCTTAGTTAGTTAGTTAGTTAGTAGTTAGTTAGTTAGTTAGTAGTTAGTTAGTTAGTGTTAGTTAGTTAGTTAGTTAGTTAGTTAGTTAGTTAGTAGTTAGTTAGTTAGTTTAGTTAGTTAGTAGTTAGTTAGTTAGTTAGTTAGTTAGTTAGTAGTAGTTAGTTAGTTAGTTAGTTAGTTAG